TAAATAAAAATAAATCAGGAAAATAAAGAGAAGCTTTTATCCAAAAGGGAACGATGTTTAGTAAATATGAAAAAAAGGAATTTCAGGTACGTAGAAAAAGTATTGAACAAAATAAATATATAAGAAATTTGGAACAAAAATATCCAGGTAAACGAAGTGACAAAATAAAAACATTTTAAATTAAAAATAAATTACGAAAGAGTGACTGAAAAAAAGAAAACAAGAAAATAAAAAAAAGAAAAATAAAGAACGTAAAATAAAACTCTTATGGAAGGAATATGATTAGAATGAAATTTACTGAACGAAATAATTTTAAAACAGAAATGGGAGAAGAAGATTAAGAAAGAGAGAATAAGATAAAAATGGATATTGAATAACTAAACGTAGAGGGGGAAAATGATATCAACATATAGAGAGAAAAGAGAAATGAATAAAAACAGAACAATACAGAACAAAATTAAAAAATGGATACTGAATGAGTAAACAGAATGTAATTGATATTTTTTTTTCAATCAAGAGAGAAGGAATGAAAGAAGAAAAAAGGAGAAAGGTGGAAGAACAAAGGAACGAAAAAAAAAACCTGAATATTGAAATAACAAACACTGAATGAACGGCTTTGAATTATAACTTGAAAAACTAAAAACACTAAAAGTCGTAGCGTGTCATTGCTCGTCAGCAATTCTTTTTAAAACCCAAATTAACTCTCCTGAGTCGGTACAATTTGATTAGGCAATGAATGAAAACGAATCAAACATTTGTTTTGTTTTAATGCCGCCTGATTTCTCTATTCACTTTGCATCACTCGGGAGCATTTTACGGACGAAAACTTCAAAAAATGAATGAACCAAGCTAATGAAAATCTAAAATGAAATAAAACAAAATATGCATGCCATGTGAATTATTTTCAATTTATTTATTTTATTTTTCTCAAAATAATTGTTGTTTGTTTAAAGCACTGTTGCTTACAACCATTATAATTCCTTTTCTTCTTAGGCCACTCATTAATTTACTCCCCAGCTATTTACTCCCCCCTTTTCTTCTTCTTCTAGTTATTATTATTATTATTATTATTATTATTATTATTATTTTTCTGCTATGGACACACTACCTACCAAGTCTGCGGAAAGACCTAAGGCAGGTCGTGGTGTGTTGTTATGGCCACATTTCATGTTAATTTTTTTTATTTTTTTTTTTTTTTTTTTTTTTATCTCCGATGAAGTTGCTAGCGTTACATAAACAAAGTTCTCCTTAGTGTGTGTGCTGTACTTAATAAGACAATTTTCTGTATGTCTCTTAAGCTGGGGTTTCAGGATTCTTTCAATGTGTTGTTTTGTTCCATTTTTATAATTCCAAGTGCACCTATTACCACTGGTATTATTCTTGTTTTCAATTTCCACATTTTTTCTATTTCAATTTCCAGGTCTTTGTATTTTGATAGTTTTTCAAATTCCTTGGTTGCTATGTTACAATCCGCTGGACAAGCCATATCAATTAGTAGGCAAGTTTTTTCTTTCTGGTTTTTGACAATGATGTCCGGCCTATTTGCTTCAATTTTTCTGTCTGTGTGGATGGTATAATCCCATAGAATGGTGACATCTTCTATTTCTGTAACCGGCGCTGGCCGATGTTCATACCAGTGTTTGCTTACACATTTTCCAAAGTGTTTGCACATTGTCCAGTGTAAGTATTGCCCCACTCTATCGTGACGATTTTTATATTCATTTGGGGCAAGTATAGAACATCCTGAGATTAGATGGTCTATTGTTTCTTGGTATTTGTCACAGAACCTGCATTTTGGATCCACATTATTATGTATGATATTTGCCTGAAAATTCCTAGTGAAAAGACTCTGGTCTTGCGCTGCAAGAATAAAGCCTTCAGTTTCAGACTTTAATCCAGATGCTCGTAACCATCGATGAGTATTAACTTTATCAACATTGGGTTTATTTGCACGTTCTGGATATTGGCCATGCAGAGGTTTGTCTTGCCAGCGTTGTTTCATCTGTTCAAGGGCTTTATCCTTGGCTTTCTTTTTTCATATCTTTTGCTGCAATAGTTGGTTCTTGGCTTCTGATTTTGAATCTACTAAATGTAAATGTTGTTTGTATTTACAGAATCCTACTTTTTAAATGTTCTTTTAATTTATTTTTTTTTATTATTATTATTTTTATTATTATTATTATTATTATTATTATTATTATTATTATTAATAATAATAATAATAATAGTAATAATAAACTTTTTATTCTTGCTGCACAGGACGAATGCTTGCTAACTAGAAATTACCAAGCATGCATTCTGAAAAATAGTGTTAACCCCAAATGCAGATTCTGCGATAAATATCTAGACAGAATGTATCAAGTTGCATAGTGTTACCACCAACTGAATATAAAAGTCTCCAAGAGAGAGTGGGTGAATATCTGCACTGGAGAAAATACAACCTTTACGGGAAGAAGCCTGCAAGAAACTGGTATGAACATCACCCAGACCCGGTTACAAAGATAGGACCTGTAACATTTTTATGGCACTTTACACATAGACAGAACGATGAAAGCTAATCATCCAGACATCGTGATCAAAGACCACAAGAACAGAATATGCTTTCTTTGTGACTTAGCTCTCGCTGCAGATTGGAATGCTCACGAATTACTCCTGCTCCTAAAGAGTCCGTCAGCCTCAAGCAGATATAGCCAAGTGGTTAAGATCATGCAAATGACAAGCATTTAATTATTAATTCATTGCTTTTAATATAATTGTTTAAAAGTTAAAAAATAATCGATTATTTGATGATCCCGAGTTCCGTAAGTCATTAGGGTGATAGGGACACATACACATGTACTGCAGCCGCAGTAGCAATTTTTTTTTCTGGACTAGATAGCCTGCAGGAAACGAACCCTTTCCAGTTTGGTTTGAATACTGAATTTTCCTTCTCCCATCTCCTTGACTAGTCGCCAACCAAATATAAGTAGAGAAGAGTTGAATTAATACCCTGCGATTAAACTCGACTGGAAATCGATCTCGTCCCTCCGATTTCTTAATCCTACTCGCTATTCATTACTCCACCATGCCGACACCGATTATAAGAAATAATAATAATAATAATACATCAGCGCAATCGTAGGTTGACCGCAGTCAAGATTATGGAGTAATTTTTATTTCCATGGATGATCTTGTCCACGCCTAAATAGTATACTCTACACCAGGGGTACATGCGATTTTAAATTCAGATTTTCTATCTCTTAGACTGGATGCTAGACAACACTGTCTGTCCTGCTTTTTAACACTTAGCCTGAGGGAGCAGAGATGGATTCATCACATTCCCATGTGCATTTGCCCAACTGTGAATAGAAGGAATTACACAACGAGTTTTTCCTTTAGAATGCAGAATAAATAGTGAAAATGAACAATTATTTAAGATCAGAAGCCAAGAGACCCATACCTGAAGTCGCATCAAGATTATTATTATCAATATTATTATTTGATATTTTGGTCGATCGATGATAATGATATCTTAGCTTCTAATATCTGTTGCTCAGAAACGCAACGATTTCTTTAGCACATGAGCTGTCACAATTTGTACCGCCACAAGCAGTCTCCCAATGCTGTCAGTTGTTTCAAAGGCGTCCTTCGTAGTCAAAAACTAAAATATAGTTCTGCGTGCGCCATACACAAAAGTGACAACTTAATCTGCTGCTTGGTATATTTATCCGATTTTCCCTTCTATGTCTTGTTACCTCTGCGTTTTCGCTTGCATCGACATCCCCAAAATTACCGAAGCATCTATCAGGATCCATTCATGTCTTTCTCTTCAAGCGGTTGTCAGTTAAGATATTCGTTTCCTGCACGAGCTTCATTTGCTCATTCTCGACTACTGACGGTAGTATATGCTTGTACCATTTCTCTGTGTACTCGAGGCTATACTTCTTACATTGTTTAAATTTAATCTGAGAGCTAATTGTCGTCTGTATTCTTATTGTGCCAGCTGCGTTCATCTACTGACAATGTGATGCACAATTACAGTAGCTTTCTTACACATTGCACTTTTCTATCAATAGCGTATTTGATAGAATTTAAAATTGTCGTGGCATATCTTAAGTTTCCTTTTTCCAGAACCGCTTCCTGAATCACCTCCATGATTCTACATGCCACTTCGTGAATTCAAATTGTCAGAATAAGACCTGTTTCAATTCCGTCTCCCGAAGAAGAATTACTTTAATTAATTATGAGTCTTAGGCATATCAATCCCAAACAAGGTCAGGACTAGCGGTGTTTGCCGGTTGCTATCATGGATCAAGGGAAAACAAGTCTCGTTAGATCTCCATCACTCTCTTAGATACTCTTGACGGTAATCAAGCTCCTCATCTAATTTCAAATTCTGTGAATTTATGTTTCAACTTCTGACCTGACGTACGATAATAGAGAACAATGCTGAAGAATGGAGGAGATTGATATAATCAGCGTAAATTATCGCATCTGACGACCCCTTCGTTATCCCTAGCAGAGAATTGTACAACATTGATTACGAAAGACGACGTTAACTTGAAGGCCGTATACTTCATCGTTTTGGTCAGAGGACAGTCATATATATGCGTGTACCCTTTCTAAGCCAATTTAGTTAATCTTCTGATGAAGGTGTTCATTGTTTTAAATCATTTTCTCACATTTTCTGTTTTATTTATCTTGGCATTTATGTAGTTTATCCGTATGGTGCAATTATCGGTCGTTATCAAAAACAATTCAGTTTCTTTTTTGGAGTTTCTTCTACGTAACCATTTATCTGCAACTCGTTTCATTTATATTTAGAACGTCAGCATAGAATTGTTTTTCTTCTATCTTTTGGGTTTCTATGCGTGTTGTGTTCCAGTTTTTCTTATTCTAGTTTTTATATCTTTCCCGATTCTTTATTACGGAATCGACTTAATCCGGAGTACTAATTAATCCTATGCCTGCTTTCTTTTGAGATAAAGACAATCGAAATCACCTCTCAGATCTAACGCTTTATGCAATCTAGTCAGGTTTCTTGGTTTGTGGTGAGGCTGCTTGTATTGCTCTCTTGTCTATTTAAAGTATTCTCCATTCACAGCGGACACAACACATATTTATTTATTCAACGTAAATTACGTAAAAACAGTCTTATGTATTTTCCTTGTTCCTGTTACATGCTTGTTGATATTTTCTTATTTTCTTTTTAATTCTAGAATGCTTAAGCATTCGTAGCCATCTTTTCTTTTTCTTTCAGCTTCCTGACCATTTCCTGCCTGTAGACCTACATTCCTTCTACTGCTTGCGGTTTGGCTTTACTCCTTACCAACAATGCACATTTTTAATAGTAAATAAAATTTATACATCGTTTCTACATCGATTTCTTCCGTTTGTATCCGAATATGTGTTTCCATTTTTGTTATTGACAAGAAAGGTAATTAAATAGGATTATGTATACTGATTCCTTTTCTGGTATGATCTTACGAATCTTTAACCTTACTCTCACTCCACAGCGTGTATAGAGTGTTTTTTTTTTTCTTATTCTTGTCCGTGATGTCTTCTTGCTGTTACATACACGATGCAATTTTCCATTGCCGCCATTTTGATGCTCATTAAACTTCAAGCATTCAGTTATCTAATGTTACAGAATAATGGCATATTTTTTCTTCAGTCAATCCTTTCTGTGATTTGATACTTTTTCGTTGTTTAAGGTTCTTTCGTATTATTTGGTCGATATATATTCACTTCTTTTTTCTTCTCTTCGGCATCATTTTTTGTTCCTCGAATGAAACCCTCGACTACCCAGAGAGTAATCCTTTTTTTCTTTCCAATTTGTTGTGTTTTTAGGAGTCTCCACATATGTAGTAAGCAATTTATCGCCCTAAGGTTGTTCCTATTTTTGGCATCTTTCTGGATCACGACTGCATTTTCCTATCGTTATATTTCGGCGATTGTGACTTCTTTCAGTAATGTCTTTAACAGTTTTGCTAGCCTCTTATGAATATTGATGAATCGCTTTAACCAGAAGCCATAGATCCATTCTGGCCAAGAACTGTCCAACTGGCACCTTTTAAAAGATTCTTTTTGAGTTATAACGGTTGATTTCAACTTCCGGTTTCTCTTTCATCTTATGCAATTCTTTTTTCCCGGTAGCCGATATTTCAGTGGGTCTCTTTTTCATTGTGTTCCTATTATTTAAATTATATTTCGGTTGTTCCCTTCCTTTTATTTTCTCTTCCTCTATTTAATTGTTGAGAAAATATTACGTCATCGTTTTGGAAGATTATGTTCTGTGTGAATTTATGGCGGTTTCGCTTGATTCTATTTATTCAATATATCATTTGGTTTTCGTATACAATTTGTTTATTTGTATTATTAACTAGAAACGTCTGCGTTAATCGATTTTATCCATTGTTTCTTGTCATTGATTCCTTGTATATTTTGATTCCGTTCTTGATGACTTTGCTTCACGTCATAGATTTTGTATTTGTTGTTCGTAGCTCATCACCCAAACAGTTTGATCATATTTATGTTTGGCTCTTCTCGAGGAATAAGTTTGTCAACAACTATTTTGACGTCTGCAATAAGGATTGGCTAGCCGCCTGTATTTAGAACTGTGTAGCCAAAAAAAAAAAAAATATTTTAAATCAATTAATTTATAATATATATATATATATATATATATATATATATATATATATATATATATATATATATATATTCCAATTATTATTTAAAATATGATTCCATGTTTCAAAATATGAGCCGAAAACTTCAATATAATTATTTGAATTAAATGGAATTAAAGAACCAAGCTCTGTTCCATCTCAAGCTTTAATTTAATCCAGATAATTATATTGAAGTTTTCGGCTCTTGTTTTGAAACATGAGAACTCTTATGTAGCGTTGGAATATTTTTTTTTAAATAAATAATTTTATTTATGCTCTACTTTTGTATCAAGCACTATTTTCTTAAAATAATAAAAATACAAAAAAGAACTTTTGGATTATTTACCTAACGAGTTCTTTCCTATTTTCTATATATTTTTTTACACACACACACACACACACACACATATATATATATATATATATATATATATATATATATATATATATATATATATATATTATTATTATTTTTATTAATGTAAGTAAAAGGTTTGTCATTTAGCTTTAGCCCCCCGACTACAGTGTTTCGTAGACGGACCCCTCCGTACACTCGTCAGAATATATCAGTAACTGTCTTCTTGATTTTTTTTTCATATACACTTATCATTGTTTCAAGGTTTTTTAATGTTTGTGGTTGTGACTACGTGTAGGGTGTCGTGATTATTTGTCCTTTTCTTCGTTTTTTTTTTCTCCACTTTTACTCGCTCCTTGCACTTTTCTATCCTTTTTGTTTTTATTAAGTTAGTTAATTGAATTTGTTTTGATATATTACAAAACTTTATTCATTTTCTACTTTTATTTCCTTATCTTTCCTTCCTTTTTATATTCCATGATAAATTACGTTATGAAACCACATCATATTTTTTTATTATAATTTAATATATTAGTACATTTCTTAAATATGATGCATATTCCGATTGAATTTTTTTTTGCTTAATGATGACTGGTTTAAGATTTGATTTTCTTCTGACTACTCTACTGTAATAACGAATATATTGCTTTCTCTACTGGCTGAATTTAAAATCGTCTTTACTCTAGTTGCTTTGCTTTAAAAGATTATATAAAATATGCTTGCTTTTTTCTTAAATTTGATGAATATTTGAAGAAGTCGCTTTAATCGAGTGAGCCTGCGATATGAAATACTGTTGTTATTTTTTGTCTATTTCTATATAAAATGCAATATATATTTATCTGCATTGAGAGCATTTTCAATTTACTGTCTACATGAAGAACGGTCAGGATATTATACAGTAGTGTTAGTTTCTGATGACACATGTAATGTCGATTCTGCTTCATATTAATTACCTGTAAATGCATATTAAATAACAATATACGGGCCTTCAAAGTCTTTCTTTTCCCAGAATATGCGGTATTGTTAACTTCTTATCAGCAATGTCAGTGACTTTTTAATAGATATTTGTTTGGGCGGGAAACTAATTCGGTTTATTAAGTAAAAATCTAAAAAGACACAGTTTTATTTCCTTTTCAGCATTAACTTTGTTAAAGAGTCGTTATCTTTTTGTTCTGTTATCGTCTGCCATGTTTCTGATAACATCCTACTCTCACTTATTTTTTTTCAAAGAACTACTCCATGTGTCATTGTTTCATTGAGTATGTAAAATACAGGAGAAAAATCTAAGGATTAAGGATTAAGGGAAAAGGGATATCCTATTTGACAAAATAAGAGAAAAACGAAGGCGGTGGAAAATATATATTTCTGAAATAAGTTAACAGGATCAGTTGGTGTTCCCACGTTCCTGCAGAATAAAGGAAGGAGAAGAATGTGACGGTGGCTTTTTACTAGCTCGTGTTTTAAAGAATCAGAAAATGGCGATAACAAGAGATATCCTGATGAAGCTGAGTGTCTCTCTCAAAATATCTTCATTGAGAAGTTTCACTTTGATAGGAAGACGTAAATCTACATATGCTACGATTGGGAAATCGTCATTGCATATTAACACTCACCATCACTAACAAGTTCTCGTCAAAACTTCTTTACTTGAGACAAAAAAATTAACCAATATAGATGATATCCATTGTGTTTCCCGGTGAAAAGACAGGTCATTTGATTTTCTGTAAGAAGCGAAGACAGAGTGACCTTAGTGTATTGACCTAAAGAGACGTGGAGACAAACGTTGAGACACAACAGATTCGGCTAACAACTGCCGTTGTCAACAAACAACAGTTCAAACAACGATATCTTGATTATTTTCCATCATTTACAATATTAAATAAATCGTAATTCAATATTGCAATATGCGATTGATACAATGGATGATAGAAAACATATCAGCCAAATTGTGACAATTTTATCTGGTCCCTAAAAAATCGTAAATATTAGAGACTTTATTGTTCAAATCAATCGTTTTGTGCTCATGAAAAAATTTCTAATCAAGGACACCTGCCCAGCCCATCCCAACCCTATGGACATCATCACCATTTTATAGTGAAAAACAATCGATGTTAGAAATACTCGTGTTCCTCGTTATTGTATCACTATTCCTTTTTCTTCCATTGTCCCATTTTGTTAAAACGCTTATAACGCCATTCGATCATTGTGGACCTTAAGTGTTTATCATCCAGGGAGAAATCACTCGCTCGGATATTAAGGAGTCAATTTTGACATACCCAATCATCTACATATTTCATTAAAAAATTAAATAAACATAATAATTGAGAGGGTCCTTTCTTTTCTTCCATATTCGCTACTTAAAATTCAATGAAAAACAATCCAATCATGAATTTATTCAAAATTAACTCTCGCACGACAGTCTAAAGTTATATTTTTTTAATGGAAGTTTATTTAATGTAGATATTTAGAATGTTACTTCTCATTAGTTAAATCGATATATTTTGTGTATATACGTGTTTGAGTAGATATCTCCGTTTTTTAAACGGTGTAAATGACGTTCACCAGGATTGGGTTTTTAAGAGTCTTTAATTTAAAAAAAAAGTACCCTTCGTGGCCCTCTTATGTAGGGGAATCCAACACATAAAGCAGACTACAATACATACATGTTAACAATACGCAGGTTTGAACCTGGTGAAGCGCACATTTACTTTCTTAAAACTTTCGAGAACACAGGATGGTAAATATTTACTCAACCATGTGCAACCTGTGATTATAACGTTTATAGTAAGGTGAAATAATATTGGAATAAAAATCCACTTAGAAATTATAAATTTAACTTTTGCTGCTACTGTAAATATATATTATTCAATCATTTTAATGAGTGTTTCCCTTTCCCAAATTCAAATCTGAGTCAAAATTTGTATTGTATTGCATTGTATTTTTATTGTTTCGAATATTATTTCTAATACTTAGCCATTATTTTATATCATTTTCTATGATAATATTTTCTGAAAGTATTATATACATTTCTTTTTTCATAATACAACAACAACAGTCTACAACAAATTGAACAGTTTTACTTTATTCTTAGAAACGGTAGATGTAGTAAATCCAGAATTTATATGGATCGGATCCACCTGCATAGACATAAAAATAACTTAAATAAGAGGACAGAAAATAGAAAGTGGCGATAAAGTACAAAACAAAGATGTTCCTTCTCACCTTCTTCTTCAATGTTACCGCGATTTATTCACTAGCCTAGCGGTTGCCCTTCAGGCGGATTTTATGGCTAGCTCTCGTGGAGGGCTTTTGGTCCTTCAGTCTTTTACCTTCAGCATCCTACATACGTAAAAGTTATAAGAATTTAGAAATAATAAAATTATTTTATCTTTATTCGACACCTTAATTCGGCATAACCTTTCTTCGTATACGTAACCGATCTCCGTAGTTTGTTTACATATATTTTGCGCGTAATTTTTATTTTTATTATTTAAATCACATTTCATTTTTATCCCTTTACATAAAGTCACCCTTAAAAGGCATTAGCGAATCTGAACTATGAACTATTTCGAATACATCACAATACGCGTCCTAGAAAAGAAAAGAAAAAAAAACATATGGGCAACGTACCATCATCCGCTAAACTATAAATTACGGCTTAATTAAACGATATCAATTACAATTGCGACGGAAGGGGAAATTAAAGATAAACCTTTAATAATGAATTGTTTTTGAAAACCTTTCACTTTGTTCGATATTTAAATGCAACTTTAAATGTGATTTATTTAATTTTAATCGCGTGTAACTACAGTAGTT